ATTATAGATAAGTAAATATATATATTTTTTATTTATTTATTTACTTATTTATTTATTTATTTATTATTCATTTATGAATTTTGATATATAATAGAGGGTTCGATACATATATATATATAATTCCTCACATTTAATTGTGTATGTTAGTCATTATTTTGAACATTTATTATTATTGTTATTATTATTATTATTATTATTATTATTATTATTATTATTATTATTATTATTATTATTATTATAGTATGTTTTTTTTTCGTCTGCACTCATATATCATGCCTCTGTCAGTCCATGCACGTAGGTTTGAATGACTTTCTATCTGTGGCTCATCAACTTTAATCGAACGTGTTTTTAGACATTAATTTTAGTGCATGACAATCCTCTTTTCATTGCAATTATTGACACTCTGGTCAATTTATGTAGATATTGACGCTGGCATTCATTATTGCGATGGCCGAGGGAGAGATCAGAGGCGGTGATGATAATGAAGCCATTGCAGAAAAAATAGAGAAATAGTTGTTGCAATTAATTGTTGTTATTTTTGTGAGATCAGTGGTTCCGAGGGAAACGCAGCTCATGGCCAGATTTTCCACAATTTCTCCGTCGTGATTGTCAGTACTGTGGGAGGTTGGTTTAGGTACGCGTTTCTCTATGATTTGTTTTATATCAGTGTAGATTATATTCGATAGATTTATTATATTTTATATGCATGTAGGTTTTGTATTAAATAAACAGTTATAATATAACTTGGAAGATTATACAAGGACATCTAAATTAATTCGCCTTAAAATTCTAATTTACACGTCTTATAATTTTTTTTGGGGGGGCAATACTAAAGATAAGAACCAGAAAGCTAATAATAATAATAATTAGTAAATAAAAAAAAAGATTAAATATTAAATAAGATTATTTCTATTTTTTTTATCTATGGGGGTCATCCCGTGATACGCGTATTTTCTTGGATGCTTTCTTATGGGCCCGTTGAATGTCCATACAGAGAACCCCGTAGCTAGTTCTCGTGTCCGCCAGTTATCTGTTTTACCTTTTTTGGCATATACTGATTTTTACTTCTATTCAGGTTGTTGTTGAAGGGTGGTTTCTTGTTGTGAATGTGCTTGTATTAGTTTTTTAACGCGACTTTTGCTTGATATGAATATTTTGTCGTTACTGGTACCGTCATCGTTATTGTTGATGTCATTGTTTTGTTATGTTGATTTGATATTATGGTTATTGTTATTATCATTGTTACTGTCGTTATTATTATAACCATAACGATAATCATTAATTGTATTCAGTGTAGCTATTATTAAGTTTTATATAACGTGGGGAGGTGGGAAGAGGGTTGAAAGCCCTCCCTCCTCCTCCTACTCCTCTCCTCCTCCCCTTCCCCCGCCCCCATCCCCTACCCCTCTCCCCCTTACTTCTCCATGGTTTGGATAATAACCAGTTTTTGGTGTTCCTGCATTACTCAAGTTCCTTCGGCCTTTGTCCCGGACCTGAGAAGGCTTATGTAAGACTTTTTTCCCCTTCTCCGTCTTTCGTTTTGTTTTGCGCGTTGTCTTTGAAAGGTGGGGGGGGGGGAGGCGTGGGAAAAAGAGGGATGGGTATGTTGGCGTTTGTGTTATGTACTGAGTGTATTCTATGTCTCTTATGTTGCTAAGGGTATTGTGCCTATGGGGATATTGCGGCTAAATGGGGCGAACTTGAGCGGAGGTGTTGATTCGAGGAAAATGTGGGAAAACGGGAGTAAATGTAATGTTAAGAATGACAAAAACAAGAAAACTAACGATGGCGGTGGCAGTAATAATGACAAGGATAATTTAAAAATAATGGGGAGATGGGGAATAATCAGTTTGTATCGAGGAAAATTATAGACGTCTTTGTAATGAAAGGGCCGTTGGAACATCATCCCAGCGCCTCCCAGCAAACGGAAGGCGAGGAAACAACAACAGAGCAGTGGCTGCGGCCCGAGGGCCGTCCGACGGCGCCCAAGGCAGGGAGAGCGAGCGTGCGCGTCGCCACCAGCCTCCGCAGCAGTTCTACTTGTCTACCTGTCTACTCGACTCTGCTAGACTGACTGCTGAACCTCCTCCCACCTGGGGCCTCGTGTAGTCTGCTGATTCACACTGGAGTCTGGCTTGTTGCTTATGCATTATGTTTTACGAAAGAGGAAGTCGAAGATTGACGTGATTTTATTTGAATGGCAAATTATGTCGTTTGGTTGGCATATGGCAGTGTGACTAGCATCCTGACACCGAGCGACGATGGTTGAGTTCCTGTTGTATGGCAGTGGTAGATTCAGAGAATAATATGGGCTAATGAATCCAGGCTTCCCATTAGAGGATATTGATGACTTCTTTAAATAGTTACTTAAAGTACGTTGTTAATTCAGTGACTGCTTTGCATCTCATAAAGGTTGTAAATTTTCTTTGTAATTGGATAAAGGGAGTAGATGATTGTTTTCAGACTAATTTACAGTGCTATTAGCATGTTATCTGCGAAGTAATAAAGATTTAATTTATTTGCGTCTTAAGTGGTGCGTAAATCTTGCTGGGGGCCGTGTGAAAGTGTGCGTATTTGTCAGTCTCTTGCCCCCCCCCCCTTCCTCCCCTCTCTCTCTTTCTCTCTCACTCTCTCTCTCTCTCTCTCTCTCTCTCTCTCTCTCTCTCTCTCTCTCTCTCTCTCTCTCTCTCTCTCTCTCTCTCTCTCTCTCTCTCTCTCTCTCTCTCTCTCTCTCTTTCTTTCTTTCTTTCTCAGAAGGAGGAGGAGGGGGAAGAAGAAGAGAAAAAGGGAGAGGAGGAGAAGCATGAAAAGGAAGAGGTGAAGAAAGAGTAGGAGAAAAACAACAAAAGAAGAAATGTACAAGCGAAGAAGAGAAAGGAAAAGAAGATGAAAGAGATGGAGGAAGAGGGGGAGGAGTAGTGGGTGAAAGGGTAGGTCCAAATGAGGAAAAGTCGAGCCCGCATAATTAACACGTCAGGGATGATGCAGCATGGAGTCGGGATGTCTTGGGGCGGGATCCGAGGGTGGGGGGTGGGGGTCGGGGGGTGTAGGAGGGGGAGGACGAGGCTCATCTGCATATCACCTTAAGGGAAAAGCACCTTGCAGGGTCATGGCTGTGTAGGCTGTTGGGGCGCGTCTCGTGTCACGCTAAACAGTCCTTTGCGAAGTGGCTGAAGTTCCTCGAGGGGGATCGTGGAACAGCTCTCTTTTCTAACTTCCTCGGTGGGAACGACTCTCTGGAGTTGGACTTATGTAATATTCGACATGTGAGGTCACGCCAAGCCCTTTGCATTGCGGGCTGGTGACTGTTCTGTCACGTAATAGCTGTTTTGCGGGTAATGTGTCGCGCGTCTCTGTCTCTGTCTCTCTCTGTCTCTCGGTCTGTCTGTCTCTCTCTCTCTCTCTCTCTCTCTCTCTCTCTCTCTCTCTCTCTCTCTCTCTCTCTCTCTCTCTCTCTCTCTCTCTCTCTCTCTCTCTCACTCATTTATTTACCTTTTTACCTTATTTAGACTGCTTTCTCTCATCTGTCTTTCTGATTCTCATTTTCCGCCCTCTATCTGTCCACCTTCTTCCATAGAACAAAACCTCAGGAAATTATTCAGAGCGTATACACTATCCAGCAGATTGTGAAAGGCCTCTATGGCAGTGTTAATGGCATCAGCACAGAAGTCGTACCATCGCGTAACACGGCGCTTGTTCGCGATGACGGCCAGTGTGACCATCTGTGTGACTCGCTCGAAGTAGTAGCGCTGACTAACGGAGTCGCTAACGAACGCATTAGCGAGAAAACTATTTCACATTGGAACGCTAGATCCGCTGAGATAAAGAGAGGGTGAGAGGGAGGGAGAAAAAAAAATCAGACGAAATTGAATCCTGAGAAAAGTGATGTTCATATTTGTATCAGATGTAATTTGTGGATGCGATTGGGTGATCTAGTTCCTTTGGCGGAATGTGGTCGTGGAGGTCGTCACCGATACGACCCTTTCACTTGCTCATACTTGTGCTTGTTCAAGTATTTATCCTCCTGTGTCAGCTTCGAGTTTGATAGTTTATTCATTAATTTGTTTTGAAACAAGCAAGCTTTCATGAAAGCAAGGTAGGAAGGGATTTCGGCTTTCCAACTCCAACTGCAGGTCGCTTTTACATATATTTGACTGCTTTTGGTCAGTTTGACTTACTCTGCTATCATTTTAATGTTATGTTTTACAAATATTGTTTATATTTATCTATTTCAGATCTCTAGTTCAGTTAAAGTTTTGGGTTGCTATCAGATAAACGTTCCGATACACCGGGAGAACCGTTAACATAGACTGACCCTGCGACGTATTAAAATTCCAGAATGATATGTTCCATGATTGACTTACGTTTCTCAACGTGGCACAGTGCCTGGCGGGGCTCTATTTGGCTGTGCGTTGGTAATGTCATGCAGGAAATCAAGAGTTCATAGGTCAGGAGCTGCATGATACAAGGATGACGTGCATGACACTACCAAAGGGTGTATAAGATGCCACGAAATTACCGCCACACGCATGACCAGTTTCGCAGGTGTACGTACAAGACAGGTGTTCGTTTCTTTGTTATAAGTAGGGTGTAAATAATGAAGTTCGCCATGTGGCGTCATCCGCGTCGCTGCGTTGTTAGGTGCGGATCATTAGCAACATTGCAAAGTGCAGTGGAATAGCTACGTGGGCGTAGCGAAGCGAAGCTGATTTTTATTTTTATTTTTTTGTTGTCTGGTTTTCTCCTCTCCGTCTTTCCTCTTTTATTTCACGGACATAGATTTGCTTGTCTAAGTCATCCTGTTTCTTTCATTTCATTTCATGTGCCGTTGTTATTGTCTTTGCCATCGTACAGAACTTCTCAGAGTGTTAGAGGTCTACACTTTCCATCACAGAACAATCAGAACTAGGAGCGGGCCGCGCTTTCCGACCGGCAGTGTCTCGCGTCCCCAAGGGAGGTGGCTGGTAGCAGGCGGGAGGGTGGATTTGTTGTTTGTAAATATGCTTGTAGCCTGCGGTGGCCGGTGGGTGTCCGGCGGGTGTCCACAGGGTGTCCCAAGTCTGCCCATTTGGGTGACCGCGTCAATGGGGCGAGAAGGAAGGATGTTTTGGTGTTTCTTCCTTGAGTCCTTCTGGTTTCCCTTTTGTCTTGAATGCGAATCGTGTGAAGTAGAGGAGAATTGAGGGATTTTTTTCTTTAGCTGTTGGTTGTGATAGTGCCTGGATATGTTTAGGATTTTGTTTATTGAAATTTAATTTTATGTGTACTGCCGCTCTAAATGGTTTACAGGGATACCTTTGTAAAAGTCGAGATAGGATTTAGAATGTATTTCTTAATCGTTATTTTTTGTTTACCTTTATTTACATGTAAAAGTAATGGTGAACAGCATACTAACGGCCTCCTTTTCTCTTTCCAGCGAGGTGAAGATGTCGGAGTAGAAGGAGGGGCGAGGACCTGCACCAGTGACCGGCGCCCTGTCACCGCCGCCGCCTCCCCCGCCACCACCAGCGCCCCTCCCCCGAACGGTACCCCAGGGAGTGTCTGGTTCCCCCAGCACCGCGGGAGAACCAGCCTCCTCCCCCACCGCCACCGCTATGGGCCTCCACCACCATCTGTGAGACCTTCACCTCCCCACTACTATAGCCGCAATTACCCCCCAACCCCCCAGTGCACGTTAACCCCCCCACCCAGGACCCCCCAGCCGTCTGAACGCCCTCCCACCTGTTGTGTAAACACCTCTCCCCCCGTTAGAACCTCATCGTCCCCTCAGTATCTGGCCCCCCCGCCATTTCGCCCCCCCACACGCCGTCTCCTTGGACCCCCCCGCGCGTGGCGTCGCAAGCCCCCCGCGCCCACGATCAAAGTCCCTCAGCTGCCCAGCCTGAGCGAGAACACGCGGAGACTCCCACGAGGTCTTCGTCAGCACCTTCAGGAGTCCCTACAACGCCTCCGGCAGGTGGCACCGCTCAGCAGTCACGAAGGTGAGGAGAACGGAAAGAAAGAAGAAAGGAGGAACGAAGACGAAGAAGGAAGGGAAGCTTCTGAGGAATCCGCGATAACCAGGACTTCCTCGGAGGCCGAGAGAGAATCCTTCGAGACAGAGAAGGACGGAAGGATCAGAGAGGACGCTGCGCCCACGCCAGACCCGCCGAAGGAAGACCGGCCTGGCCAAGGACGCTCCCAAGG